ACAAAAAGATATTTACATTACGATTCATAACAGTAGCAAAATTACAGTTATAGAGTAGCAACGAAAATAATTTTATGGTTGGGGGTCACCACATGAGAAACTGTATTAAGGGGTCGCGGTATTAGGAAGGTTGAGAACTGCTGGCCTAGAAGGTGTGTGATTTGGCCCCTCATTATGTCTCTGACTTCCTCTTCCACTTCCTTCTCCCACCCCCCCACCCCATCCGCACTCTGGCTGCCCTAAAATTAGGATTAGGGCACACGTCTGCCTCAGGGCCTTTTCACAGGCTGTTTCCTCTGTCTGGGATACTATTCCCTCAAATAGTCCCATGACGTGCTCCCTCAGTCACCTCCTTCAAGTCCGTGTGAGAACATCACCTTTTCCCTGAGTCCTATCCTCACCATCTTACTGAAAAAAATGCAACCCTTTCCTCTCCTTCTATCATGCCACAGACTCGACGACTGAATTTTATTCTGTTTTCCATCTTTTCATACTAGACTGCTTTTCCACACTAGCTCCCCATAAGCACAAGAAGTTTTATGTTCTATTCATGAATGCATTCCGAACGCCTAAAAAAGTGCCTGACACAAAGTAGGGGCTCAATACCAACTAGTTAGTAAAAGAATTTATTAACGAATGAACACATATGCCTAACGTACGCGGCTCCAAGAGCAAAAAGGCGTTGTTTTGTTCACTGCTGCACCCCAAGCGCCTAGCGCAGTGCTTACACGCTCGAAGCTTAATATTTGATTGACTACATGAATGACTAAATAACAATGAAAGCTACCGGGATGACCATTCTCTCTCCGAGCGGAGCAGAGACACAACCTCAAGCCCAACCCACCTTCCCCCAGCCCTTCACCTGTGAGGAGACACCCAGGTGCTGAAAGCTGTAGTCAAACAGTAGCTCCTGCAGCTCCAGGTTTACCGGCACGTTGCGGTCAAAGGGCGAGCGCAGCATCCAGCGCAGCGGCTCCAGGCTGCCCAGCGCGTTGCCCACCTGCGGACCCGCCCCGCCCCGAGCCCCGCCACGCCCGCGGGCGCATACGGCGCGGAACTGTAGGCGCGGCTCCGGGCCTGGGTCCGGCCCGGGGCAGGCCCAGCCGGCGCGGGCCTGGAACGACCCGTTGTCCAGCACCAGTGGCACCGGCAGTGGCCCGTGTGCCACCGGGCCGGCCTCCAGCACTGGATCCGGCGTGGCGCGGGAGTCGCGGAAGGGGAACACGTTCCCGGCCGGCCCGGCCGTACCGGCCGCCGCCATGTTGCAGCGCGCGCGCTTGCTCAGCCTCTCACCCCAGCGTCCGCCCAGACGGTGCGAAACCCCGCCCCCATGCGTAACGCCGCGCGGCTAGTGTGTTCAAGAGCTCCAAGCCGCTTCCCTTCGTTAAGCCCTGCGTCCCTCTCCATCTGACTCGCCCTTTGTGACCCAGATCCCTCAGGATCGCTAGACCCTGCCCATCCTAGCCGTAAAGTCCTGCCATTGCTTAACCGCGCCCCAGAGTCCGACCTCACGCCTCTTCTCTATAGTCGGGATTCCGGACCAGTAAGCCCCGCCCCAATGCGTAAACCACCAAACCCCGCCCCTTCCTGGCCTCTAGGACTGGGCGCTCAGCTCCACAGAGCCCGGCCTTTTCGCCTAGCCACGCCCTATTTTTCGAATAACTCACCTTCAACCGCCCTTGGCTCCGCCTTCATGTGGTTACGTCCCCCTTAGCCTCACTGTCAAGGAAACTCTGGGATCCAGGGTTCAATTTCTTGACCAGGGAACTCGCTATGCAGGCGTGTTCACTTTGTGAAAATTCATCATGGTGTCCACTTATGATTTATGCACTTTTCCGTATGTATGTTGCATTTTATAATATAAAGTTTTAAAATATCTTCATTTATTTATTAACTCCCACAGGCTGTGCTCTCTCAGTGAGACTTCAAACGTTAAGAGACTGCTAATTTTTCCTCCACTTGTATAGTCTTTCTTCCTTTTAGTGGTATAACTCCGCCTCGTGGTTATCTAGCTTGGTGTGATCGTGACACTAAGTTCTGGCCAATGGGAGTGGGACTGGAGGTCAGGTGGACANCAGGACAGAATGTCAATACAAAAATTAACAATATTTCTATACACTAGCAATGAGCAACTGGAAACTGAAATGAAAAAAACAAAGAAATAAATACTTAGGAATACATTTAATAAAACATGTAGAGGATCTATATGCTGAAAACTACAAAATGCTGATGGAAGGAATCAATAAAGACCTAGATAAATGGAAAGATACACTATGTTCATAAACTAGAAGACTCAGCATAGTAAAAAATGCCAATTCTCCCTAATCTAGAGTTAATATGATATCTCAATTTATATTTAGAATGTTGTTTTACATCCAATCTCACCTAAAGATTTAATGTAGCTTTAATCAAAATCCTAACAGAACTTTTATGTAGATATGGACAAGCTGATCCTAACATTTACATGGAAAGGCAAAGGAACTAGAATAGCCAAAACAATTCTGAAAAAGAACCTACATATGTAAGTTATCAGTTAACTGAACAGTTTTTTAAGAAAGTAAATACCAAAATGGGAAGCGGATGCTAAAAAGTAATGAGTAAAAAAGTGAGCAAAAGAGGCATCCGGGGAACAACCAAAGGAACGCCCCAAAGGTAGACAACATCCAAACGCTGCAAGCAAACATCCTCTTCACTACCTTCCAGGTAATCCTCGGCGATATAGCTGTGCTCGTGCAGGATCTCCTCCATGCGGCTGAGAGTGATAGCTGCCAGGTGCCCGGGATACTTCAGCTGCAGGAGACGCTGGAGGTAGCCAGCTGCTTGGCTTCCTCCCAGATTGATGCGTTTGCAATTTTTAGCATCTAACCTACAATCAAGAAGTGGAAAACAGCACTGGTATTTCTGGCAACATGAAAGAGGAATATGGTGCAACATTTGGGGGAGAAAGGATAATTTAATGTAGACAAATGAGGAAGAAACAGACCAGCTGGGAGAACATAAAACCTTACAGCTAGAAGGGACTTTAAGATTCCCTCGGCTGGACCTCTTACCCAATGAAGGAATTCCTAATCCACGCCCAGGCAGGTGGCCATCTAACTTCTAGCAAGAGTTTCAGAAGGAAACAAGTTTGAGTGGGAAAAACATGCAGTCTGAAGCCAAGCCCTTATGTGATTCACCATGTATTTCTCAAACTGGGGTCCTGGGACCAAGTACCCTAGAACTAGCTGGAGAAAACATTAAATGTGCCAATTCCCAGGACTCATATGCCCTAGGGTGGACCCGGGAATCTACATTTTAACAATCTTCCCAGGTAACTCTAGTGCAGGCCAGACTTTGAGAACCCCTTCCCTAAATACTCCACTTCTACTGATGCAAACACATTAAGTAACCAGACATATTGGTTTACTGTAATCTCCTAAGCATACCAGTCCCTTTCACATGAATTGAAGGGGAAGAGAACCAGAGTGACTTTATTCTCTTAATGTGAGAAAGAGTGGCAGAGCATTAGGAAGTTGCTGTGTATTGAAATGTTGCTGCTATGTCACACCTCACCAGCAGATGCCAGCACAGAACAGGATACGCTCCAATCTGACCATTTCTTAGCCTTCTGGTAAAATAATTTTCTCTCCATATAAAAATACTAACGTTATTTTTAATTTCTGCATACTCTGTTCTATATAACATAGACAACCTGTACAACAGCAATGTTTGGTAATGTCTAAGAATTACTTTTCTCTACATCAATGTTTGTAAAACCTTCTGGAGAAATTCCTAATATAGGTCTCAATAAATTCAACAGCATTTATTTTGACTTAAATATTCAGACTGCTTTACAGTTTATAAAGTGCCATCACCTACATTATCTCATTTCATCCTCAGGGTAACCCTGAGCAATCAGTTTTTCCCAATTTTACATGTTAGGAAACTAAGAGGTTAGGCACCTCGTCCTTCGCGGGGCTGCAAACAAGGCATTCAACTCCAAAGCCAGGGCTGTTTTCCCTACTTACACACCTTCTTTACACAATGAGAAATCTCAGGAGAGCAGGATGCTGGCCTATTCTCTTATCAGACAACAAAAGCCCAACCCTAAAGTGAAAACAGATTTTGAACATGACAGAAAACACCTCCACCTTTTACTCAGCTCAGAAATTTTTAATAAGGACCTATATTATGTGCCAGACTCTATACCTGAAAAGAAAAGCCTAAACAATGATGATTAAAGAGCTTTAAATTAAAAAATAACCTCTTAATAAGAAAGTGACTCCAGAACACAAAGACCATCTAAATTAATTCAGATAATTTATTCAAAACATTTTCATTGAGCACCTACTACCTGCAGGTTCTGTGTTAGCTATCTCACCATAAATCGGAATTATAAAATTCTAAAATTATGGATCTGGACCTTAGAGACCAATCTCTCCAACTCCCTCCAGGTTACACAGGATGGAAGGTGAAGTGATTTATTTACCCATAGTCCCAAAGTGAGGTAGGTCAGGGCTAAGACTAGACACCAGTTCGTGGTCCACTATTTGCTCTTTTAACTTCACCTTTAAAGTAGGCACCCAATAAATGTCTCCTGAATACTTTTCAAAACAACACTCAAATGCCATAAGCGCAACTCACCTCCCTCCTAAGACGGGTAAAATATGTGTACACTGGTATCCAGATGAAATGATGAGCCCACTGGAAGTCAAGTTCTTTGGCTTATTGTGGTAGAAGCTGAAC